ATAATTATATATATATATATATATATATATATATATATATATATATATATATATATATATATAATTAACTGTTAAATTGCTAGATCTGCACTAGAAAAAATAATAAATAGACACACCAAAATATATTTAACATTAGTAGTTTGTGCAAATCTAGAAATAAGAATGATGTCCATTTGAGGCAAAAGTTTTGGAGTGTGCAATGTCGCAACGCTAAATGAGAATTTTATTGAATATGGCACGATGTTTTGTATTTTATCAGTCAACATGGCATGGATTAAATGGTTCAATAACTAGTGCAATGTCCCAAAATTTCGTAACTGTTAAAAATAACACACTTTAAAAAACACCTTTTTTGTATTATATTTATTTTCGTCTTGGAAGTTACCTGAGCTATGTACAGAGGAAACATTAGCCATAGCTTTATATAGGGAACCTAAAGAATTATTAAATTCTAAAACAGAGATTTTAAACAAATGCAGACATAGAAGATCTTGGATATTGGATTAGGCCCCATCTTCCCCTGATTATATAGTTATTTAACCGTTTTTACCCGTGTTTGTCTCTAAATTACCCCCTCCCCATTTAAGCCGTTTCGAATAAATTTCTCCTCCACCTTCCCTATTGTTGTGTTGTTTTGTTTTTTTGTTTTTTGGTTTTTGTTTCTTGGTTTGTTTTTTTTTCTTTTGTTTGGTCACGTGGTTTATCGCCTATAAGTATACAGTTTTCTTTACCTCTTTAGCCAGCTATCCTTGACGATCTGCTTAGGTGAAACCTTGGTAGGTTTGTCTGGCTCTTTGATTTGACTAGGTCTGCTCTACTTTTGTATTGAGCACTTTTAAGATAGTTGATTATTCATATCGGGGTTTTGTCTTTGGGCTTTGGACCTGTATGCTGTACGATTATTTTCGACAGACGTTCATGTTCATAGCTCTTTCTTTTGTTAAAACCTTTTTTCCTTGAGATTGATTTGACCATTAGCAAATCAAGAAACCGAAGGTTTTCGAGACGAGTTCAGTTACCTATATATATATATATATATATATATATATATATATATATATATACAGACCAACCTCTGTTCCCAAATATCTTACATGTCGAACAAATCGGTTTTCGAACAGAAAATTCGAGATGAAAAAGCCTCAGATATCGACCAAAATTTCGGTTCTCGAACAACATTGCCCACAAACGGAATCTTTTCTAAGTGGACAGCCGTATTGTATACATTCGTGTGTTGTGTTGTTCTTTTCTTTTCCAATTTTATTGTACTGTAACTTTTTCTCTACATTGATTCCCATTGGAAAAATAGTTTCGGTATACGAACATTTAGAGTTACGAACGGCCTTCAAGAACAAATTAAATTCGTGAACCGAGGTTCCACTATATATATATAAAAACAAGAACAACATCTATTCCATACCTGAAGATGTCTGTAGGAACAGACGAAAGCTTGTAGTAAAAATAAGAACTAATGCGGCAGAAATTTATAGAAACAAGGATCTTTTCATTCATAACGGGTTCGGAGGTTTTTGTATATTATTTGAATTGTTTGCGACGATGGATTTCGCCAATTAAATCATTAACCTTTGCATTTGTTTTTGTGTGAATAATTCATGAATTTGTAAATTGATTGCACGTTTATCGAAATTAAAATAACTGATCCAAGTGCGACTTTTGGATAATAAGTGCGACATTACTGTAATTATTGAACAATATAGTTCATGCCACTTTGACAGAAAATTTACCAGAAAAAATTCGTTTATCACCATATTTGTACATGAACGCACAACTGTAAAAATTTAAAATCAAACTCAGCGTTGCTACTGCACGCCCAAAACAATAACTCATTTCCAATAGCATTTTCGGATACAACAATACATATATTTTCGTTGTCCCTTATTACTGAGAGAAAAAAAAACAAGAACAACATCTATTCCATACCTGAAGATGTCTGTAGGAACAGACGAAAGCTTGTAGTAAAAAAAAATAAGAACTAATGCGGCAGAAATTTATAGAAACAAGGATCTTTTCATTCATAACGGGTTCGGAGGTTTTTGTATATTATTTGAATTGTTTGCGACGATGGATTTCTCGCCAATTAAATCATTAAACTTTGCATTTGTTTTTGTGTGAATAATTCATGAATATATATATATATATATATATATATATATATATATATATATATACCTTTTGAAGATCGCGCCCGCCTGAAGTCTGGCAGACCCGGACCAGTATGTAATCTTCCGGCCCATCCGTGGATCAGGTAGAGTCGCCTGTTTCATGTCGGATGTAAAACCACGCGACTTGCTACAGTTACAATAGGTACGAAAATGGACAGACAATGTGGTAATGACAGCTGTGAGAGCCAGAGGGAATGTGATGGCTGTAAAAGAGTCTTCAAGTAGGTGAAGGGTCGCAAGATACACCAGACAAAGATGAAATGTGGCAGTGATTCAGTGGCAAAAGCGCACGGCAGTAGTCGTTAAGTCGTCGGAGTGTCAGGATCAGCATGAACACCACAGTGTCCTGCAGGATCCTTTCTTCGAAGCTGAATCTAGTCGCCGAGTTATCAAGTGGCCTTCCTCGGTGGATAGGGTCTGGTCAAAGATGGATGAAGACTTATCAGTAGTAGTCCAGACACTCAGGGGTGATCCAGTTAGGAAAGTCCACCAGTTTGGGGAGATGATCAGTGACTATGGGGTCACCAGGTTTGGGTTAAAGGAAGTGAAAGCTAAGTCCTTAGCTCCAGTGCAGGTAAGTCGGTGGCGGAGAACCATCCACTCATTGAGGAAAGAGACGCGAAGTTTACGAGCAGCAATGCGGGCTGATGAGCAGAGGGCAGAGGAAATCAAGCCAATCCTGGAGGACATAAGGAAGCATATTAGCAAGCTAAGTGGAGCGGAACGGCTTACCAAAAATAGACAGAAGGCTGCCAAGACCCGGAAGTCATTCACGGAAATTCCGTTCCGCTTCACGAAGCAGTTGTTTAGGGAGAAGACTAGCTGAGCGTTGTGTGTTGAGCGGGAGGAGCTGGAGAAACATTTATGAGCACGTGCTCGGATGCCAGCAGAGAGGTTACAGCCGAGGTAATGCCAGGTTTATTCAGGCCTGGCGCCCCGGAAGTAGCTTTTGATGAGTTTCCAGTGACTTGGAAGGAGTTGTACGGAGGGCAAGAGCGTGTTCTCCGGGTGGTCCTAATGGGGTGACATATGCTGTCTACAAGAGGTGTCCCAGGCTGCTGAGGTATTTGTGGAGACTTCTTGTGAAGATTTGGGAAGTTGATGTTCCGGACTGTTGGTGTCGAGCTGATTGGTGTATATACCGAAGGAGGAGAGTTCGGTGACATTTAGTCAGTTTCGCCCAATATCACTCCTGAACGTTGAAGGGAAGGTGTTTTTTTTAAGGTGTTTACCAGGAGGCTGACGGGGTACCTGCTTAGGGATAACTATATAGACACTAGTATTCAAAGGGCAGGAGTCCCGGGGTTTCCAGGTTGCTTGGAACAGTGTCAATGATTTGGGCAATGATCTATGAGGCTAAAATTGAAAGGAAGAATATTCACGTCATCTGGCTAGATCTTGCTAATGCCTATGGTTCAGTACCGCATAGGATGATACAGTTGGCATTGGAGTTCTTCTACGTTCCGCAGGGATTGTCTGGCTATGTACTTCAATCAGTTCGTACTGTGTTTTTCAACGACGAAGTACACTACAAGATATGTGGAGCTGCAAAGGGGAATTGTTATGGGATGTGCCATCTCTCCAGTACTGTTTGTGATGGTGATGGGGGTGATCTTGAGAGGTCTGATGCCAGAGTGCTGCTTCCTGCAGAATGAGGTCTAAATCGGAGCATTTATGGATGATTTGACGATAATTCAAAATGATAGGAAAGTAGAACAGTTGGTTCTGGATAGACTTGCAGGGTTGGTAAAATGGAGTCAGATGGCCTTCAAAGCGAAGAAAAGCAGGTCACTGTCTATGAAGGGAGGTTCTGTCATACATGAAGTGTTTTCCATCACAGGTGAAAAGATACCAATAGTGCGGGAGCAAGGTGTGAAGAGTCTTGGGATATGGTATAACTTCCCTGTGACAGATCGTCACCGTGGGATTGAAATCATGCGAAGAATAGATCAATGTGGGCTTCCCGGAAAATTTAAGGTGTGGTGTATGCATTTAAGATTGATGCCTAGATTAATGTGGCCGCTGATTATATATGAGGTGGCACTGTCTAGAGTTGATATAATTGAGAGGAAAATTAGTAAATGCATACGGAAGTGGCTTGGTGTTGCAAGGATTCTGTCGCCGGTCGCTTTGTATGGCAGTTCGGGGGGCCTTCAGTTAACTCTTACATTTTTGGTGGAGGAGTACAAGGTGGCAAAGGTGAGATTGCAGTCCATGCTGTGTGAGTCTAGGGATGCTGTGATCCGGAAGAATGTGCCAGATGTGAAGACAAGAAGAAAGTGGAAAATGTCAGACGTGATGTCAGCAGTGGAAGTGATGGTAATGCAGGTAGAAGTCCAAAGTGTTACAAAGAAGGGACGTGCTGGACTTGGTCTAGTTGAGAGGGAGAGATTCTGGTCAGAGGCCAGTAGACAGGAGCAATGCAAGTTACAGGAACAGGGGGTTCGAAATCTCGAAGAGGAGAGATGTTTACTGCGGACTGTCCAGCAGGCTCAGCTTAACTGGGAGGGTCGATTGAGGGTGTTCAGATCAGTTGGTCTGATTGGTGGAGTCTAGGCGCAGGACATTTGAGGTTCCTCATACAGGCATCATATGATGTGGGAGCAGCACCGTCAAATGTGAAGAGATGGGGAGTGCAGGAGTCACCCTCCTGCCGGTTGTGTGATGCTTATGGAAACCTGCGCCACATACTGTCAGCCTGTCCAAAGGCGCTACAGAATGGCTGGTACACCTTCAGACATAACTTGGTTCTGGAGGTCGTGGCAGCAGCTGCAAGAAATGCTAGCATTCCCTTGTTGGACCTACGAAGGGTAGCCTTCATGAAGCAAGTTGCGACTGACACAAGGCAGAAGGAAGTGGAGAGTGTTGGTTGATGCTACACTGCCAAGTGGAGGTCATTGCGTCTGGTCTGCGACCAGATCTGTTGCTTGGCGAACTGACAGTAGCATGGGAAGAAGGGATTGAAAAGGCGCATGAAAGAAAGTTGCTTCGGTATGAGGAACTGGTGGCTGAAGTCCGTGAGAGAGGATATGGCTGCACCCTGGTGCCATTTGAGGTTGGCTGTAGAGGATTTCCTGCTGCCTCTCTAAAGAGATTCCTCAAGTGTGCCGGGATCCATAAGCCGGATAAGGTGATAAAGGCTTGTGGTGAAAAAGCGGTGGAAGGAAGTGTATGGATTACCCAAAAATTCTTATCGAATCGCATCCAATTAACATAGACCGGTTGCAACGTAACATCATCCAGCTGTTGCGGACCCACCGTGTGGAGAGGTACTGAACTTAATGGGCCGAAACTTTGGTGAAGCATGGCGCTCAGCTGAAGATTGCAGCTGGTCGGGAGCACTTGATGTGTACTTGTGTTCTATATATATATATATATATATATATATATATATATATATATATATATATATATATTATAAATACAGATGCATATATATATTATATAATATGCATATAAATATATCATATATATATACAGATATATACAGGCATATATATATTTTATATATATATATATATATATATATATATATATATATATATATATATATATATATATATATATATAATTATATGTAAGGTATATATATAATATATAAATAAGGCATAATATATAATATATATAATAATATATATATAATATATATAATAATATATTGTATATATATATATATATATATATATATATATATATATATATATATATATATATATATATATCTGTATATATATATGATATATTTATATGTATATTATATAATATATATATGCATCTGTATTTATAATATATATATATATGTATATTTATATATAGGATATATATATATTCAGGCAGCAAATTCTCTTTAGACATGCCCGATTGAATAAATTACAAACATTATGTCTGCTTATTTTTATCATAATCTTTTCATATTCACGAATATTTTTTTGTAGTGGATTGGAACATCAACCTACAACAATCAATCCAAAAACTGAAAGGTCTGCTTGGAGGAAATACTTGCTATAATTACCTTCTCAGACCAAATCAAGCTATTAATAAACGATCATAACCCATCTCAAAGCAGACACAAAAACATTTTTTACTATGCCACTTAAAAATCGAAAACTGAATACATTAGATAAAAACTAAAATAAATGCATAAAGTAAAAATATTTAGTGAAATAGCAATCAAAAAAAGTATAATCTGTGTTTCTTCAACACCTACAGACTCAAACGGAGGTGTATACTTCAATTTCACTCACAATGATGGGGTCAACCTCTGAATACGTTTTTCATAGATTTCCCAACAGTGCCACATATTAAAATAGTCTTCCTAGGCTTATATAACCAATATGTTACCTCATGACAAATCAGATTTGGTGAAATTTGAACGTGAGTCTCATGATCAGAATGCTAACATGCCCAATACTGAAATACTGGGTTAAAAACAAACAAGTTCTAAAAATTGAATGAATAATGAAAACATTTCATTTTTTTTTTAACTTTTTATTGCATAGAATTATGTTCATAAACACACTCCTATAAGTTGATTTCAAAATTAAATAAGCATTATGTCATGTATAGATTACCATATGTAGAAATTAGGAACGTTTTCTTCACTAAAAATTATCTTTAAATTATTTTAAAATATTCGGTTATGAGCCTTTCAAATATTGATTCGTAAATTTACTTTTTACTTAACGATATCACGAAATTGCATTCTTGAAAGCAATGAAGAATTTTAACCGATTTTATAGTTATTATAATTAAAATTTTAAAAAAATGAAAAGATTCTTGTTAAAATTCATTATTCATCGAAAATTTTTATTTCTTCAGAAAATAGTGTCTTTAATATACCGTATTTACAAAAGCAATTATAAGCTTTTCTAATTAAATAATGTCATAGTTTTATTGCATGCTTAATTTTACAAGTCAGAGCAGATTTTCAATGAAACGTGTAAAAAAAAATATTATGATTTACTTTTTCCAAAGAGTCTTGTTTTTAACTAATGAAAATATTCCTCCCTTAAAAATTTAATTTCTCGAAATTTCATGAAATTATGTAAGTGGGTGGTAACATATATAAAAAGAAATATTTTTTTACCAAGATTTTCTAAACAAATATTTAAAAAATAATTTAATTCATTTCTGAATATGTCCATAAAGTTTCCTTAAAATCCGAAATTTATTTGAATTTTGCAAGAATTTCCAAATCAATGTGTGTTTTCCTCGGCAAAAGCGCAACATAGAATAAACACTTTTTCTTTAGTTCGCCGATGTCGTAAAAAAACAAGATTTTAACCAAAATTTCCAACGTGCTAGAAAGGAGTAAAATATTTAAGAAATTAATAATAAAAATACTTTCGTCTTTCCTCATAATAAATAACATAAATATTTTGATGACAAAACTTTGTCTTTATTGAGTTTGAGGAAATTTTCATCATGCTATGCTGTTTTTTAAGCAACCTAGTGGAAGTACTTAAATTTAACCGATTCCAAATGGTATATATATATATATATATATATATATATATATATATATATTTGTGTGTGTGTGTGTGTGTGTGTGTGTGTGTGTGTACATGTCTGTATGTTACTGTAAACGTACATGTGTGTGTGGGGGTATACGTATGAGTGTTGTACACCATAATTTATTCCATTGGATGTCTCGGTATTACTCACAAAATTTATGAATCTATCACTCAGCTAATTTATTTTAACTTTAATTTGTTTCTTACTTAAATCACCCATCACTTATTAATAATATTAAACCCTTATTGTATAAATACCACTTAGTGTAAATCACCGTAAGACATAATTGTTGTTTGCATAGTGTAGTATCCCATAGTAGGAACCGAATTTCATTTACATACAAATAAAAGGCTCTAGCCATAAATAAACACCGACTCCAGACGCTTCCCCTTAAAGAGATAATTTACGCCCTCCCCTTGTCACCAACGCAAGCTCTTTATCAAAAACAAGGCGTCTCTTTGAGTATGACTGCTATCTAAAATAAATTCAAAACCACGATTCCAGGCAGGCATTCGAGGGCTGATGAGGATTGGCATAGTGTGACGGTCTGAAATAGACTATACCCATATGAGCTAATTTTGGATTTTTTGGTGTAAAAAATATATATGGTCTGTTATAATAAATACATTGAGCTATCCGTGGATAAGTTTTAATATTTGATATTATATACCAACTGATCTTTTACCTGTACTATATATATATATATATATATATATATATATATATATATATATATATATATATGAATCAAAAAAGTTTTTATCCGTTAACAATAACACATTTCTAAAAAACATATTTCGATTCGCATTTAATCTATCGAAACTGATGCTACCTGGATTTACTAAAAACAAAATAATTTCCATGCCTGAGGATGATTGTATGTACAGTTGAAAGTACTAGCAGATTTTAAAAAAAGACCTTATACAGCTTGTAGCTATTAAAAACAAGGATCATAACATTCATTGAGTGGTTCGTAGGTTAATGCAACTTTAAAATTTTGTTTGCGAAGAGTTTTCGCCAGTTTATATCATTAACTTTACTAATCTACTTTTTGTATGAATGATTCATTCTAGGCGGTGTAATGGTTAGCAAGCTTGTCTCGCTAGCACAATTACGAATGAGTAGTGAGTTCCATCCTCACTGGGTACCCCATACTTTCGGCCTTGTGCCACATCTAAGCTACGCTTGAAAATCGCTATATATATATATATATATATATATATATATATATATATATATATATAGTTGAATTGATGTGAGTTTGTAACCCTGGGTGTTTTTTATGGAAGTGGGAGGAAAAATTGTCGTCGTGGCGCCACTCATACTTAGGCAAACATACATACACGCCCGTACACTCATTGCATTGAGGTATGCAGATACATATACACACGCGCTCGCTCACCGAAGCTCACACAAATATAAACATATGTGAACAGTATGGGACTTGACATATATATGTATGTGTGCTGTTGTGTATATGCGTACGCATTTGATTGCTGAATTCAATGATGGATTGTGTAGCAAATAATTTTCCTGAATGTAGGGATGTCAACACGCAGACCATTTTTCTATTTTTCCGCTGAATAATATTTCCTCGCACGTATATACGTATGATGGGGTTGTGTAAAATTATGATGGGTAAAAATTGCTATTATTTTTAATTCTTAAAGGCTGTTTTGTTATTATTTTAAAGCCGTTTATTTGCTTGTTTTTGGTGATTTCACATGTGTAAATGGTAAAATTCCAATTCGTAATTCTTATTAGTTTTTATGCGGTGGTATAAATTTTGCTGGAGGAGAGAGGAGTAATTTACGTTAATGGTGATTGTAATATGGCAATAGTAATTGTGATGTGGTAGTAATAGTGGTGGGGGTTGATTATAATAATAATAATTTTAGTAGCAAATAGTTATTGTAAAGTGGTAGAAGTGATTGTATAGCCACAGAGGAGCGTTTCGTTTAGCAAGATCGATTTTACTGTTTTTAAACTACAATTCTCCAGATTTTCTCTCGTACATTCATAGCTGTTCGATGCATATCCAAATGTAAACAAATGACGTTATACATTATGAAATGGACAAAGTCCGACAATTATTTTAAGACATTTGTTTATGTTTATACGTTCTAAAAAGAACGTAGATACAAATATTTAAGTAAATGCTCTGTTAATAAGAAGCAGTATTAGCAACATTTACCGGCCTGAATGTCCGAGAAATTTTCACAGAATAAATACATATATATATATATATATATATATATATATATATATATATATATATGTATTTATTCTGTGAAAATTTCATCCCACCTATCTACTATATTTTATGTTCTACCACCGATGATTTCCCTTTCTTGAAGTTTTGTCTTGTAAACTGACGGCTACTTTCTAGTCACCCTCTTTATGCCATTATTGTTTCTTTCACTATCTCTTCTTTACATATAAACTTATGTAAGGAATGGGGAAGGTTACTGTAGATATATATAAATCTTGTACATATATTTATATCTATCCATGTATTGAGATTCATATTCTTCTGTGGAGTCTTTTGTATATGTGCATTTCTGTACGCATTCTCATCTATATATGTACACGCTTTTCCTCAACATTTTTCCTTTATTCTTTATTTGTTATTTATTTTTTGTACCCACTCTTTTATCAATAATAGATTTCCAATTTTTATCCATGTTTTGGTCGTTCACTTTTTCTTTTCATTTCATTTTATTTAATAAAATATTTATTATTCCCTTTTATTCCTCATTTCTTCTTTTTTTTCTTCTTCCTTTTCCTTTCTC